GATAAAATATATCTCTATATATGTACCGTTATACCCCTTATACTCTTAGGTTAATTAAATATACATTTCCAAAAGAATAGCGTTATGCGTGATGACTCTAAGGTTTACCCTTAGCGGAGTTTACGACAAAATCATTTATGGTAAATTCTCTTATTATATTTCAATAGAAAGTTTTCATTACTTATAGATCTAAGACTACATAAATACAAAGTCTACACTTAAATTGTTCTAAAGGATTGTGTGATTCTACAAAACAGGGTTTTAGTTAACTACATTTTTATTTTAAGTTTTGTCTAGAATTACTGCAAAGCTTTAAAATCAGCGAACGATAGCACTTTAATCTCCAATATAGGATTTAAAACACATTATTTAATAATCATACATTTTCTTTTTTGACTATATTTAGCAAATTTGTTGCTCAAATCTCAAAAAATATAAAAAACAAAAAATGTGAAAAGGACATATTTATATTTTCACTTTAAATCAAAACGTATACATTTTATTTATGTGGCGGTGCAGTTTTTTCTGTTAATATATTTACTTACTTACATATATGTGGAAGCTATCACGTACACTAAAATGATCATTAATAATAAAACGTCTTTACAGTCTTTTAAAAATAACAAAAAAAAATTTTCGAATGGTCGTAATTTAAAATGAGAAAACTTTGTAAGTTAAGGGAAAGAATAACGAAGGGAAAACTTATGGTGAAGAAAGAGTGAAAAAAAGAGCGGCAGTTTTTAGTCATAAATCAATTGACATTTGTTTTATTATATTTTAAAGACTTTCTATTTGAAATTTATTGGAATTTAATAAAATTTCATAAAAATCTATAAATAATTATAAAAATAGCAATGTTAAATTTAGAAATTTTAAAAAAATTTAAAATTTAAAAGTAAAAGTACCTTACATTTTTGTTTTAAATTGTTTATTACGTTAAAGATGAATTAGATAACTTTTTTCTTTATTTCGCATTTAGTGGACAACTGCTGTAACTTGATGCATACAGTTGTGCCTTAATATATTCAAAAGTACTCAAGCTTTACTAAACCAATAAAAAAGTCTGCCGTGTCCTAATCAAATATTTCGAGAGTTAAATTTGTAACAGTGTTGTTGTTTAATTAAATTTGTTCGTCAGTGTTGCGCCACGGATCGAAACCAGTAGTAAAATACTTAAAATAATAATTTCGGGAGAAGGATAAAAAAAATTAAAAGCTAAAATTTAAATTTTCAATGTTTGTCTCTCAATTCAATTCATCATAAATTTTAATAATTCAATCAAACATTATCATCAATGAAAATTTGCTTTTGTTAAACGATAATAAACTAACACTATAAATAAATCAACACTTTAAAAATATTATTTCATACTTAATATACAAATATAAAATTGCAGTAAAAATCTATGGTTCGTAGAATAGCACAATTCGCTTTCACGTTTTTCCATATTGCTGAACTTTATAGTGGTTACCGAAAACGAACGTGAAGATATGCATTGATGGAAGAATAGAATTGGATTACTATTTCTGTTAATTAAAGTTTGTTTTATCAAAAAATCGGCCCCTTTTTAGTTTTTTAATAGAAAATATGGTAACTATTCATTGTAACGGATCTTCAGAAATGAAGAAGTCTAATTTTGGATTTTGTGATATGAAAATAGGAAAACGCATACTGATTACCCTTAACTTATTTACGCTATGCTAATTCTTTAGTATTTTTAGCACTACTTTATCTTGGAAAGGCTGATGGTGGATAATAAGTGAAGAGACTTTAGTGATATTTTTGCAGTATACTAAAAAAATAATTTTTTCACTAAGATGTGTAGAGTCAGCATGTTAACAAATAAAAAGACAGCCAGATTAAATTCTTTCAATAATCTGAATATTAAATAGCCTCATCTCATATCGATTCATTTGTCCATACCCAAAATTTTATAAAAACAACTATAAGTGATTTTATGTATCTAACATCTGAATGTGCTTCAGTATTACAAAGGGAATATATATGTAGATATACAAATTGTTTTTTTGTGTGAGAGATAAAATACAATATATAACTGTTAGTTTTGACAATGGAAAACTTGCCGCCAAGAAAATACGGAGGCATGGAAAAAATCACAAAGTGAAAGAAAGATGGGTAAAATTCAATAACAATGATGAAGAAAAAGCAACAATGACAGCTTAAAATAATTTATAAAATATCGTTATAAAACGATTTTGTGTGTGCATAAGTATATGTTGTACTATATGTACATATACATACATATACGAAAAAGGATATCCGATCTATTTATGTTACTTTTTTTTTATATTTTTAGCCATCGGTTTTAGTTTATCCTTTATTTAGAACAAATTTTGATGTTCTTTTAAAACTATTTATAAAAGTTACAGAATTATGAGCGTGTGTATGTTTGTATGCATCTATGTATATTTTCTTAAAAGTCATTGCTGTTCCAACAAAGAAGTCTATTTATATAAACAAGTGGTCGTAAGTGAATTTATTTCTCACTATTAAAATAATAGTTACATTTACTTATAGTAGTCAAGGAATATACACAACGTATATCACACTTTTCACAATAACAAAATTTAATTATAGATATGTAACTAAAAAGTTATAAATTCGATTAAATGAGGATTATCATCTGTTTAGAACAATAAACCTGATACAGAATATTAAAATGGGTAATTAAAAATTACATTGAATACGAGTTAATGTGTTTTATAGAAATTAAGGAAATTTGGTTATTTTAAATGAGGAAGAATTACATTAAATATTAATAGTCCCGAATTTCCATATATTGATTAATTTTGAAAATTTTTCTGATATGAAAATATTGTTGTCAGTCTACTCGAGTACTACTAGTGGCTTTTATTGATTCATTTAGAAGATTAATTTGGAATTATTTTGTCTCTTCCACATGTAAAATAGGCTATTGTCATTAAACTGAGAAATGGGCTCTAAAGAGTAAAACCTTTAATTATTTCACTTTAAAATTGATTACTATATAAATAGAGGGGTTAATAAAAAGATGGAAGGTTTTTTTGCTATAACAAATTAATATATGCTACCATCAGTGTAGTACCTTATATAAAGCCCTATTGCTACGTCTAAAGTTCAGTATACTGAAACGCATTTTCAAGTTAAAGTCGTTCTCAACCGAACGCAGAAGGCACAGATAAACCTGACGGCAACCACTTCTTCGTATGTCAGTAGGCGAGGGAAATCGTCTCTTTTAAAATACTCTACTCTATAGATTCTGATTAGTTCATGGAAAGGTTTGAACTTTTTCTTAATTAACACAAAAGTAAATAAGTGGTTATTTCTCATACTTTTGCGTGGTTATTTCTCATACTTATAAGTGGTTATTTCTCATACTTTTTAATATTCGTTAAAAAGTAAAAATTTCTCATGAAAAAATAATACGTATGTGATATATGTAGCTTATGAGTCCTTTTATTTAACAGAAGAAGAAAGTATTAATGGTGAAATTCGTGGTTCGAATGGTAAACTTTTTTAAGAAATCTTAGTGATAACTTATATTGTATAAAATATAATTATACTGATGCCTACCACTAAAAATAAATAATAAAATGTATGTATAATAAATATAAATGTTATACATTTACACATAGTGTCCAATTCAATTTATTCTTATAAAACTTTATTCTCAGAAAAGCAAATAATATAATATGCCACTATAATTTATAAATTCGAGCCTGACCTTCAGATATAAGAGAAAAACATTTAACAAACTGATACCAAACTTCGTGAAGGAAAGAGATAGTAAAAATTTTCTATTAATTTTTTTGCTTTTACAGTAATGGAATAATTCTGTAGTCATTTAGTTGGAACCGCATTCGAAATGATTAACGTGTCATTTTGGTTAACAGTAACTTTCCCAAAAAAGAGAGTGTATTTTGTTTATGTTTTAGATTTTGCCATTTTATTTTTTTTTTAAATTTCGTTTATTGTCGGTTTTGTTATGTCAAGTACGAAATTTTATTTTCTCTGTTTAAATATTTTCTTTATTTCTATCTCGTTTTCTCTTATTAAACAAAACAATTATTATGTGTTAAGAATTTTCGTTGTTTTCTTTCCATTGTATTTTTTTTTAAATGGGAAGAGCTTCGACAATTCATTTAAAAAAGATAGAATAAAAAAATTTTTGTTGAAAAATTTTTGTTTACTACTCTGGGTTTTTATCTAAAGAATTTAAATTGTACAGTTATAAATGAATATGAAAATGTCTTTTTTCTAAAACAGTTTTATTAATATTATATTCGTTAGGGTTCCCGCAGTTTATGTATCTTTTCTTATTTTTTATAGTATATTACTGAAAATTGGAAAATACATTTTTTGCGCAAAAGAATATGTTCAATCGCTTTACATTCCTTATAGAATCGAAATGGTCTCAAAACAATTCTTAAAATTTGTTTGTTTAAAAGATTGTTAAAATCTCCTGTAAGATAACTGACAGTACAATTTTCCTTTTAACAACAATGTCCGGCCTTTTAACGTGACCATAGCATGTTCTCATCACAATCTTCAAATATCGTTAGATGCATATAAATATAAAGAGTAGGAGTTTATGTGTATTTGTTGTTATTACATTGTATTTTAAGTGTTCATCTCTACATAAGTTCTTGATGTTATTTGCCCAAATAGAAATTCAAAACATAATCTGTTTTAGTAAGGTAAACGACTAACTTAAAAAAATTTAAGAAAGAAATAATATCTATCTAGAATTGTGATCTATGAATTTTGTGCAGATGGCAACACATAATTTTGTATTATAAATTTATATTAAAAGTCTAGCAGTACAACTCTCCGATAGTTAAGTAAAGTTGAGATTTTTTATAGCTTTCATTATTTAATTTTATTTCTCTATCTCATTTTATCCTTTTTGTGTTATTTTCCGTCTCTGTTTTTATTTTATTTTAAGTTTTGTTGATTTTCCTTTTTTTGAATTTTTATATTATGTATTTTTTTTCAGTATTATCAGCATTTCAACCAGAATTTGCAGAGCCAATTGTAAATATTTCCGTAGCTGTTGGTAGAGATGCAACGTTTACGTGCCATGTTCGTCATTTGGGTGGATATCGGGTAAGTACACTTAGTTATATATATATATAGCCGCCACACTATAAATATAAAATTTATTTCAAAGATTAGAAATGTATAACAAATGTATGAATAGATGGATGAGAGAATATATAAATGAAGAGATATGGGATGAATATTGAGTGAATGGTAACTCAGCACTTATGTTGATTTTTCTATTTTTGATGAATTAGTTTTCTGTGAAGAAATATTTACCTAAAATACTGTGAAAGTGAGAAAGAGTATTGTTTTAATACTCTTTAAATTGAGTTTAAGATAATTTTGGGTAATAAATTTGTAAAAATTTTCTTTTTTTAGAAATATTTAAGAATTGAAATTAAATGTTTCGAATAATTCCATAATTCTTTAAGGGAAAACGAGGAGTATAAAAATTTGTAGTTCAATATGAAGAATTTTTAAATTATAATTTTATTTTGTCTCTTCTCTAAATAAGTTAATGATTAAAAACTCGAGCTCCATCTTGATCATAATAAAATCTTTGTTGTTTATATTAAAGACATGAAATCAAAATCAATCTATAGCAGTAAATGTTTTGGAAACATAACATCGTTTGGTTTTTCATCACCAACGAAAGTTTATTGCGAAAGCTGACAATAAATTTAATTTCTAATTTTATATTAAAAATAGGTAGGATGGTTAAAAGCTGACACAAAAGCAATTCAAGCAATACATGAGCATGTAATTACACATAATCCTAGAGTAAGCGTTACCCATTCAGATCAATTTACGTGGAATTTACATATAAAATCGGTGACAGAAGAGGACCGAGGTGGTTATATGTGCCAGTTGAATACAGATCCAATGAAAAGTCAAGTAAGTTTTCAAGTTAAACTTCAATTTAATTATACCATAATTAATTTTTTAATAACATTTTTTTAAAAAGTTTGAAATTTTCTAGCATTTAAAATTTTTAATTTATTATAGATTGGATACTTAGACGTTGTAATACCTCCTGATTTTGTAGCTGAAGATACTTCATCTGATGTAATAGTTCCAGAAGGTGCCACTGTAAAACTAACGTGCAGGTAAAAGAGTAAATTTTTATAATAAGGGTAAATTTATTAAACTAAGAAGTGAAAATTAATAAGTTATAAAATTACTGTTGTCAGAATATTCATGACTGTTTGAATTTGGCGCTTTAAATATACCTATTTCCTTACTGCATTCGATTTAAATTTTGACTTGCATATTTATATAAGATAATATTATGAACTCAAAAAAATACCATAAACGCAATATTTTAAAAATTCTATCACTCCTTCTAGAAAAGAATTTTAATTTAAATTTCGCAAATTTATTTCTATAGCTTTTCAATACTTTTTTAAGTACAGTCTAAATGATTAATCAAAACCTTATTTGTTATTTAATATACAATTTCAACACTATAAATGTATGTGTATTCATATGTGTTTATGTGCCTGTATATCACACAATTTAATTACCATCCAATGTAAGCAGATGCATTGAGTTCATAAAAAATTAATAATTTAGTGATAATAAAAATCGAGGTAATTTTAGAATCAACGCGAACGGAATGGCAACAAGCTTTCTGTTTTTAATGAAATTGAGAAAATAAAAACTGCGGATAAAGCAATTTAATACTTTACTACTCTATAATTTAACAATGAAGTGCAGGATAATGGAAAAGATAATAAACTAAGATCTTAAAATGGCCAATTGCATAATAATATTTTGGTTTATATGAACCATATAACCCCAGTCAACATTTTAATGACAATATAACTATTATGTAATAAACAAAAACAAAACCATAATTTTTCACTACCATATTTAATGACTATAATGAAGAACTATATAGAACACATAGAGAAATTCAAACATAAAAATATCACCTCCACCGCAATAATCATTAAGAAAGAAAACCTCTCAATTTGTTACTTCTAACCAAGAATTAACGAGCATATTTTAGGTAATTCTGAAAACATCGTATAGTTGCGTATATAATCAGTATGAGTTCCAGAAGTTTACTCAATACCAACCAATTTGCACTAATAAAAACTACAATTTGTGATACATTGAGATCTAGATAGTTTTTAAAAAGCGCTGAATTAAAAGATAAAATATTCAAATTAAAGTTCTGTTTTACATTAGATTATATAAGGTTTGCCATTATTTTTCATGACACAACCCAAGTTGACCGTCCACAATTGAAATATAATGTCTCTCTGTTGTCCAATTTTCCCGTTTGTTCAACTAAGATTGTTTTATGATGGAAATTTCTTACATTTTTCTTTTTCTCATTCTTATTTATTTCAACAATAACAACTGTTGTTGTTTATGAGTCTGAACTTTATGCAACCATTTGCCTTCTATAACAAAGAACATATATGATTGTTTTGCTGCTCGCTTTACAAAAAATATAATGTACAAACCTACAAGTATGTTAAATATTAATATACTTATAGCATACATATGCCTGACAGTATACCGAAAATGAGGTTTATTGACTATAGCAAAGGCCATCACTAACTTTATAACCATTCTACTACGGTAAAATTTTAAGAAGTAATGAGGTACTCGTAGAACTGTAGTTTGATTTTAGCAAAATTAATGTTAGTTGGTACAGTTGAATAGTAGGAATAATAACAGTAATGTAGTTACAAATATTAAAAATGAAAATCTCTTCAACTTAAGGAATTCCAACATTACACACTCGCACATTGACAAAGATTGCATACGAAATTCTATGATGATGAAAATTCAATAAAAATTCTTAAAAAATATTAAGAAGGATTAAAATGAGAGAAGAAAAAGTAATAAAAGGGAAAAATAAATGGCAATGTGAAAGGTTAAAAGCACAAAATTCAGATAATAAAAGAAATAAAAATATTTTTTCTTGTCTTAAATATCGTAAATCCTTTTACAACTACACATTCGTGTAATATAAATGGTTGAATACCAATATAATAAAGAGTTGAAAAACAAGTATAAACCGAAATAGAGCAATAACAAGTTTACATAATAGAAATGTCTTAAGTTTATTCAATTTAAGGAATTTATGTAGTTGAACAAAACGACCTGATCTCAAAGGATATTTTAAATTTGTCTAAAATGAAAAAAAATCATTTCTCGACGTCTCTTTTTGGAATTTTAAGCGCATTCAAATAAGTTTTAGTGTGCATTGAATGTATAGAAAAGTTAAATAATTATGCACAACTGAATCGTTTACTTCACACCGAAATTTTTAAGTAATTTTAATGTACCGATGCGGATTCTAGTGTATAAAATTCTAGAAAATCATCTCTGTAACAAATTTAATGGACCCCAAGTTCATTGACATGATTTTTATGAAGGTGGCAAAAGTTCGCAAGAATGTAAGAATTTTCTTACATTCTAACGTAACGTTCTCCTACCAAAATTAACCTTACTTGTTACTAAATGCATATAAAGACTAAACTAAATGAACAATAAATTCCACTGAGTAACTTCCAGGAGAAAATCATTTCTTCAAATCATTTTGGAGAAATTAATTTTCGTGTGCTTGCATATGAAGAAGTAAAGATTCTTGTAAACTAACCAATATACCTAAAGGCAAATTGAAAACAATATGTGCCTATATTTTTTCCAAACATAAGATTTATAAGGAAATTTGTACTCGTACATATGTTTTAAAACTATTCTGCTTAAAGAAAAAAAAATTATACAAGTTAGTGTTGTGCAAAAGTTGTTAACCTTTATCTTTCCCTAATCTTAATTCACATTAAATCAATGGCTATTTTCATATAATTTGCTTAGATTCTGAAATCATTCCCCAGTTTTCTAAAAAAAAAAATTATCTTCCCCATTTAAAGTAATTTAAATTTTTATTTTTAAACCATAAATTTTTCTTGTTCCAAAAGAAAAGACAATATGTTGAAAAATTAAACCTATTCCGAGATAATCATTAGCAGGAGTAGGAGCTTTTCATTAAACCATAATTTTTAACCTTCTTTATAACAAATTAAACATTAAATTACTGAAATTTTCTAACAATTTTAATTTGATATGAAAAATAAAGGACAAAATTTTATTTTCATTTAGAGTTTGTTTTTTCTATATTATTACCGCCATACCATGCAAACCTCCTTCCCTTTATACTCCTTTTTTACAGACTAGCCAATTTACAAGTTTTGTCATATTCTGAAACCAAAGAAAACCTCATTAATCTTTTAAGGGTAGAAGTAGTTGTTTTCGTTTTTTTATATTTTAACAATTCAAAAATCAATAAAAAATTATAACCCTTGTCATCATATATTCATTAGACACGATACACACATCCTTACCATGTCTATTCGCATAAATTTTTGCATATGCTTGTTCTTGTAAGTTTGTTTATTTATATGTGTTGACTATGAAATGTCGTGTCTATTTTTACATATTTTTGTTCTATGTGAACCTATGTCAAAATCTAAACTGACATTTGTAACATTTTTCTTCTCTCTTCATCTTTTTATTTATTTATATTTTTGAATATGTTTGTCCTTTTTCAATTTTGTTTCTTTATTATATTATAAAACACATAATTTAAAATTTATTTTATTTTATGTATGTATGTTTCTATGTATATGAATTAAATGAGTGGCATCATGAAATTTTCGGTATGTCGGTTTTTCAAACCACTTTGTATTGATCATTTTAATTCTCAAACTGTGAAGATATTAGGAATTTTACTTGCAATATTTTGGTCCCATTTTTTAATGTACAATGGTAAAGTAAATAAAATATTGCGTTGCTTAAAAAGTACTTCCATCATCAAATTTTAAAGAATTTGATGAAACAATATTGAACTTTCAAAATAATTTTGAGGTGACTGTCCTTCCATTTTAATAACGAAAGGTAAAACAAAGGTGATCTACAATCAGTTTCTGAAATCGCAAATTATTTTCCAAAAATTAATCCAAAATTTCAATTTAGTGTTTTTCCAATTTAGGCAGTTTTCCTTTGAACAGCAGATTTGTCTTCCAATCTATTTTTCGTATCCATTTTTCCACTAAACTTTTAAAAACTGAAGTTAAAGATTAAAATTAGCTCATTCAGGCCAATTTAGTTATAACCAAAAAATGTCTATGGCAATCTCATACTTCAATTTCTTAAAAATTTATATACTGACATAAAAAATTTCCCACTTAATTTAATGCATCATGAATAATTGTATTTTTATGTTTCACGTTTTTTTTTTCTCATGTCTTCATTTCTATTTTAAGAGCACGTGGATATCCAGAACCAATTGTAACATGGCGACGTGAAGATGGAAGTGATATTATACTTAAAGATAGTCTGGGAACTAAAAATTTGGGTATGTGTCAAATATTTAGGATTTAAAAAAAAAGAAAGAATTGAATTTTTGATATTTTAAAGAGATTTTTCGTATTGTTGCAAAAAAAAAGACATCTACTAATATAAAAAATAATTTTTTATTTTTGTTTTTACAGTTCCAGTTTATAAAGGTGAAGTTTTAAAATTATCAAAAATATCACGTGGCGAAATGGGATCATATTTATGTATAGCATCAAATGGTGTTCCGCCATCCGTTTCAAAGAGGATATCTTTAAGCATTCACTGTAAGTATGAGCCAATTGAAGTTAGCAAGTTTATTTTAGTTGTAGTGGATTTTTGTAAAAATTAAGAAACCTGAATTCATTTGCCCATGAAATTGAACTTCAAAATTTTCTTCTTATAGAAATATTAGCGTGAACCAACCTTTAAATATTTAATAAAACTTATAATTTTTTTGTAATTTTGCCAATAATTTTTAAAATATTAAATTTAGTGTATTTTTTTTTGTATTTATATAGGCTAATATCAAATGGTTGTTTGGCAACTGGACAGTAAATTTTAATTCAAACTTCAAGGTTTGATCGAAAATTTCATCGAACTTTTAGAATTCGATTATTGTTGACTTTTTACTTTCGTATTTGCTTCCAAGTAGAAGCTAAAATTGTACATTTTTACATAAGATATTTGAATTTTAATTCCAAATTTTATTTAATAATCTTGTAAATTTTTTCATTAAATTCTTTTAACTTTTAATTTGTTGGCCCTAATTAGAGAAATTGAGAATATTATAAATATTATTATTAATTGAGAACCAATGTGTCAAAAAATAACTGACAGATAGTGATAAAAAAGTTTAGCTTTCAATAATTTATAATGTTGTTAAATTAATTAATTATTTTTGTTAAATTCCTATAAATTTGACTATTAGGCTCCATCAAAAATAACATCTAAATCATATTTGAACAATATTTCTGTCGAAACTTTTTGCTTTTTACTTCATTAACCTTACGATTTTAAAAATACAAATATCAAATTAAATCAGGGGATTGGATCAACATGTAAAAATCGTTCCAAACATATTTTATTTACCTGCACATATCAAATGTGCCACGTATGCAAATACAAATTAAGTCTTTGTTACTTACTGGTTTTGTATTGAAAAAAAAATTGGAACACATTGTGGGAACTTTATTTCATGTAGCTATAGCATAATACCCCTAATTTCAAATTGTCACTGAAAAAAACTTCTATTGGCATTATGCACGCATGTATTGTATTTTTTTTATAAAAAATCAAATGAGACCTTAAATCCTCTAATTAATTTAAATAATATAAAATTATTATCCTGTTTGTACGAACATGAGCATATAATAGATTCCTTTCATACTTTTTTCATTAGTGTATTCACATACGTACAAATTTCCCTACCTAAGGGCATTTATCAAATATGTAAATTTTGCAACATATTCAGTACACATGTATGAAAATGTAGGTACATGTTACTTTAAGTATCGAGAAGATGAAATCAAGTAAAAGTAACAAAGAGCGAGAGAAAGACAAAACTTATTGCAACATTAAGTTACATTACATTATAAGGATGCATTATAATAATAATTCATCTGTTGAGCATCAGATGGCAGTTTATGTTATTTGGTTATGAAGAGAATAATAAAGAACAGTTATTATTCTCTCATATATTGTTTTTATTGTTACGATTTTCATCTTTGTTTTTTTGTTCATGCAAGCTTTCGTATATTGAATTTGTAATAATACTTTGTGTGATTTCGTTTTGCCTTTGGCGGAAAAAAGAGCAAACGATAATGGTTATAAAATGCAGTGATGTAACTTGCTAGAATATTTTTAAAACTGGAAATATGTATATTTTCGACACGAGTCAACAGATTTGTCGGAGTGGGAGTTTACGACCAAGTCCTAAATCACTGACTTTCTAAACTGATGAACGTAAAGCATTCAATCATTTCAAACAGGGGCATATGTTATCGAAATGAATGGTTATGAGTGTATCAAAACCAACATTTGAGGACTCCAATATCAACTTTGAATGATGATAGGTCTAAATTATTTGCGGGAAGGATTGAGAAATTGCCCTTCAACTTAGATATTAGAGAACAATGTTTGTCGAATGTCCATTCTGTATAAATTAAAATAGGATGACAGAACGTGAGGTCGGTGCTCGACTTGGTCTAAAATGTTTCGAAAGTAGTTTTGTAGCAGTCCTAGATGTTTCTCCACTCAAAGCTGAGGCATTATTGAAGCTTATCAGGAGCCTATCTAAACATTTATAGCTTATATTGATATGGCTGAGACATTAGTTAAAAACAACTTCTTAAGGAAGTTAAGATGAAGGAAAGAATTTAATTTCGAACTTGTAAACTGAACAAAGAAATATATCATAGACATACATTAGCATGTGTATGATATACTAATTAGGAGGGCTGATTCAGTAAGTTTGTCAACTAAGTTGAGTATACTGCAATCGAACAAAATTCATATCACATTTTTTAGCACATATTAAAAAAATTTAATTTGACTTTTGTATTTTGTATATTAATGAAGACAGAAAAAAATTAATTTAGGAATAAAAAAAATTTCGTGGAAAAAAAACACATTCAAAAAGATAATAAAATTTCATGTACCATGAAAAAAGGAAGTAATTAAGACGGGAAATATGTTTGCATCAAAAGTCCATAAAAATGTATATGAATGCTTAATTTATGAAACACGAAACTAAGAGCATTCTTAGGATTTTCCAGGAAGCAGGGAGGTGAACTACATATTTTCTTCTTTAAAAGAGATGAAAAAAAAAAAACGAAAATAGAAGTAGATGAAAAACTTTATGCTAGTAAACAAATAACTTTTCTTTCAAAAATAATTCATAGCTGTGTGTGAAATTCAAAGACTAGGGAATGACATAAGGGGTTGAAAAACTGGAAAAATTTTCATTCACTATATTTCGCGTTTCAAATTAATAAGCATTAGAAAGAAAAACTGTAGTTACAGGAGATTTAATTTTTGCTTTTTCTTGTTTTGGTTTCCCGCTATGATCGACCCTATTTTAAATTTTAAAATGGAAGAACACAAAAAAATTTTTTATTAAAAAACAAGTAAAATAGAAAAATTTACATTTATTAGCAATTATTGTGGTACAAGTTAATTATGCAAACTTATTAAAAAATTATTATATGGTCGGTTCTGTTTTCTTCTGCTAGTCGGTGTAATTAAATTCAATTATGTTTTTAATTTATATAAGATGAGAATGAATGGAATGAATGAAAATTTTTTTGGAAAATCTTAAAGTGTTAGGCTTTGTTTTAAAATTTAATAATTTGGTTTGTTAAGGAAATTGGATATTTTAAACTTTTTTCAACAAATTCAAAGAATACAAGGATACAGGCCTAAAATTTAGTAATCTCGGAGCTTGAAGGTACGAACTTTTTTATGACATTGTTTTTCCATCCGCCTTTCATGATTTCATTTTGAGTCTATCTTCTAAGATGTTAATCGGCTTTACACTTTCACACATTTCACAGTTTTACCAAATTCGAATTTATTGTATGAACTAAAATTGTCAAGCCATAAAAACACACATTTTACAATGCAACTTAAATCAAATTATTAAAATGAATGCAAATCATCCCAAATTTTGTATGCAGAAAGTTTCATATCAAAGGTGTTTTTATATAACTACCATCATCTAACATATTTGAAAAAAAAAAAAAACATTAATAAGTTTTCAACTTTTTATTCAAGCCTTCTTATGGACAGAAATGTGAACAGGAAAATTTCCGAGCAACTTTAAAAATTAAATTTTATTAAAAGAAGCGTTTTCACGGATCATCGAAAAATGAACAGGTTATATAAATTTGAAAAAAAAAAAAATGGAAGGAAATTGAATTCAAAAAATTGTTTTTTTACATGTAGATGAATAAAAGTAAGGTTCAAAACATTGACCAAAAGGGTAATATCTCAGTGATAAATTTGTTAAGTGAAATAATGAAAGTTCATACATTTTTTATTCAATCTTACATTTACTATGTATCTTTTGATGAAGTGGCGAACGTACAATACTTCCTGGTATTGAGACCTCAAAGTCAAAAACCAAAAAGTGTTTTAACAAATTATTAATATTTTTAATAAATTTAAAAGTGGTTGAGAGGCAAACCAGATTGGCATATTACTGAACAATTGAGTTTTTCTCAGTCTCAGCTATGTATGAACACATGTACAAGCCTTATATTTTTCTATTCTAGTTATGGTAACGGTTTTTTAAATGTTGTCGTAATTTTCATAATCACGATATTCTTTAATATTTGTATCTTTGATCTAATTTTATAGCGAATCAGCTTTTAACTAACTCATAAAGCTTGAGTTTATCATGAAGTAAGAATCTCTAACTGTGAAGAGTATTTCATAGGTAGGCGTAGGCCTTACTTTCCTAAAATACTGTACGTGTGTGTACATGCAATTTTCCATGAATATTGTACTTTGACAGTAATTATGAATATAAAATTAGGTAACCTCTTCTCCTCTTACTTGAATCAGAAGCCCTTCACTTGCAAATAGTCACATACAAAATATTTTAAAATGTCAGAAGTAAAGAACATTAGAATATTTTAACATTTTTCAATAACTACTCAAAGGCTATTCAGGAAATTTTTGTCTCAACTTTTCATTTTTGTATGTGTACATATACATACATTTATAAAATTTTTTGTATTAAATTCCTGTGTTCATTAAACGGACATTGTATTCATTTTATTTATGTGTGTACATAAAATTTATAGAAAATATCAAAAAATACAATAAACTCCCTTAAATTCCATCAAAAAGTGATACTTTGAATTTAAATAAATCACACAAGGATTAAAGCATACATTTTTAGAGATATTTTCTGATATACATAATATGTACACTCGAATGTTCTTACAGGAACATTTGAAATAGTTATAGAATATGCATAAAAGTTTTTACTTATACAAATTTATATAGTTAAATTTCATTTAGGTCTATTGTATTCAAAAATCATGTTAAATTTGTAAAGTTCACCAAATTGTCCAAAAACAAGTTGTTTTATTCTTTTCGAAAATACACACACAACCCTACATGTTTTAGCATTTTATACATGAGTAATTAACTATCCCCTATAGGGGAGGTCAATCTAAAATTTGAATAGCTTTGAAAAGTGAAAAGTAAAGAGGGCATTTATAATTTATAACATTTTGTATACTTTAATAAACTCCATTGTAAATTTTAAAAAATATTGATAAAAACATAAATTTTAAATTTGCTGCAAAATTCCATATTTGAGGTAGTAAATAAAGATATTTAAGATTTTATGTGAATGAAGGTACAAAGTAGTTAGGCTTCATATTATGAATGTGTTGAAAAAGCTATACATATAGCTAAAAGAAAACGTATTAGTTGGTGTTCAAGTATGTAAAATTTCTTTTAATATTCGTTTAAAACAGTGATGTCCAACAGGAATGGTTTCTTGGGCAGAAATTTTTTTTTTACTGGTTCATGTGGGCACATTTAAAAAAAAACAAAAGTATTTAATTTAGTAACTTTATTTAATTTTATTCATAAAATCGAAATCATATTAAAATTTAATGTGAAGCTTGTTTTTTTAAATTATCTGCTAATTTTTGAATATCAACTGGCAATTTTGTTGACGCACAACGCAGTTGTTTTTTTTTTTTCATTATTTTTAAAAACTAAAAACTATTATTTTCTTATTTCCTTTTTATTCTAATTTGGCCTATGATTTTAATGTGTGTTTTTTGCTGTTTTTATTCTAAGTTGAAACTTTATGAAGGTAAAAATATTTTGTTCCAGAGTGCCGCAAAAAATTTTCAATTGGGCCGCACGTTGGACATGGCTGGTTTAAAACATTAAAAATTTTGATTTGAAATTCTTAATGTTTTGTTTTCGTTTCGAAAAATTATAATAAGGATGAATTTAGAAGGTTCGCGTGAAATTATCAAATAGAAATGTACATATGTGTAAACAAATAAACGAATATTCCAGTTGAATATGTTATAAGTTTTCTGTACCTACGTTATGAGTTTTCCGATTCAACCTTTGCCAAAAAACTTTCAAGCGTAATCCATATGATTCACAATTTGCTTTAATTTTAATGTAAAATTTTAGATGCGTCTTTGGAATATCAGCCAGAATTATAAAATGTCCAACATTTTTTCACATTGGAAGTATAAATAATTCCATTGAACACTATTGGAAATGTCGTCAATTTGGTCAAATGAAATTTAACCAGATATATTTTGACCAAATATATTTCACCAAATAAAATTTCAAGTTTCTCAAAAAATTTAAAGTTAAAAGACGAATCAAAAGAAGAAAAAATTTAAAAAAAATTCGCCTAAAGAGGGGAGAATATTCCTTCAAATTAATATCGTATTCGGAATATAGTTGGGTGTTGAATAACCCTTAACTAATAAATCCAAGATCTCTTATTTCTTCTTCTTCTGCATGTCATAAATCAATTGACCCTTTTTGATAATTCTGAAAAATTGCCTCTGTTTGAATTTCCATTTCACATTTTATTCGATCTCCATCTTAAAAATTCGGATAATATCGTATTATTGGCAAGATTGCTGTTACCGTTTAAGTCTATCCATTAAGTTTTCATGGCACTTGCATAGGTTGTTTAGAATAATAGATTTAAATATAGAAAATATTTAAAAATATAAGATAAAATAATTGAATAAAATTTATTATTTAAAGAAATACACACTCATACGGACTCAGACCGTACATATGTAAATTTTATATTATGACAATAAATATTTTACCCATATATAAAATATTGCAGAATTTCAATTTTGCATTTTGCATGTCGCATGAAGAAGGTCAATTAATTTTTTCTATTTTTCCTTTTTTTTATAAATTCAACCAATATATTATTTGCTTTAAATATCCTTAATCCTGATACATATTATAATAAAACATCAATCCCCATTAATTCACATATAAGCATTTTACAACAAATCGACCAAATTATATTCCAAGGTTCATAAACTATCCTAAGGATTTAATATAACTTTATTGTCTTTTCGTATCTTTAAAAAAATTCGATATAGGTAACATTTTCCAATTAAGATTTTATTGAAAACTTTTTTTATTCTATAAACTTTGTGCCTTAGAAATTTATAAAATTTTTATATGTGTACCTATGTACCTACAGATTTTTGGTTTTTGGAGTTTCTTCATATTTTTTGAAGTATTGTAAATAATGTTTGATTTTAGGAATATTGAGGCAATATATTTCAAATTTAAACTCTATTCCACTTATATGTATGTGTACGTATAAGAAATTTCTGTTAGGGTTCATGAACTGATTACATATATGTACGTATAATGCAATTTTATATAAAGGAAATCAAGTCCAAGACTCCTGTAGGTAAATTAATTTTTGATTCATTAAAATGTATGATTTTAAAATGCATCAGAAAAGTCCTTTTTCTCATGAGAAGTTCATATACATAAATTCAAAAATGTCATCAAATATATTTAAACTTTTCTTTTCATGTGTAGTGAAAGTTGAGGCTTTTATAGATTACATTTTTTGGTATTAACTTGAAATGAATGCTATATAAAGAGATCAGAAATATTGAAATGTGTGTAATGTTTTTATACAAGATGCACTTGATAAGTTCAACCGTAAGATAATAAAAGAGCAAAATGTCTTACAGATCAAGCTAATCTTAATTTTCTTTCTTGGGTATTTTCCCCACACAATATCTAGAACTGAATTGTTCTGTGATTTATACATTTCTAAAGGTGTTTAGTACTTAAAATTGAAAAGCAGTGAGTTAGAAATGATAGACGAAATCTACGCTACGCTAACATAATTTCTTCAAGAAAAAAAAACGGTAATTTGTATTGACACAGTAAATCAATGAATTAGTAATAAATTTTTTTGATTGTATTGGGATTTAATAACTTTTATTACGATACAACACGACAGCAACGCACAATCCTTTAACGATACAACACGACCGCGTTGTAATCTTATAGATAAAATATGCTGAAATATTATTTCTTGAATAACAGAATCGTTTTACTAGCATATTAAAATGAATATAACTCTGCCTTCGAACTTCAAAACCATGAAACCTAAAATCGTACATCTTACATAATTTATTCTATTATTATACGAGAATAAAACAACCTTCAACAAAACAATTTTTATATGCGTTCAATATATTTGGCCTATTGCCCAAAAATTTCATTGAATCAAAAACAAAAAAGGAAACTTAGTTCAAAAAAAAGAAAAAAAAAACAAAGCCTGATACACTCAATTAATGGAAAATATTTTTTACTCTTCTTTTGCATTTTCTTTTTCTCTCTTTTGATATTATTTTTATTTATCTTGCTTTTTTCTTGTGATTTATGATCATTTTAGTTCATCCTGTTATTCAAGTACCAAATCAATTAGTGGGAGCACCACTTGGAACTGATGTACAGATTGAATGTCACGTAGAAGCATCACCAAAATCAATTAACTATTGGGTTAAGGATACGGGTGAGTAAATCATTATAATCTCTTACATAAAATTCGGAAATTTTAAATTTACATGTGTTATGTGTGTGTGTTAAATCAAATGCACTTACATATAGGTAATACCAAAATATAGGCATCACTACATATGCCTTTACTATATAATAAACACATAAATTATTGCACATGGCACTCTAACTTATAATTAGAGATGTAAAGGATTTGAAATTTTTGGTTACGTTCACATACAGACACACAATATGCACCCAAGGTTTTACCTTTTTGATTTCAAAAATTTCATATTTAAAATTTTGTAATATTTTTAATAAAGATTTTTGTTTTGTTCTTCTTTTCTAAATTTTTTTGTTCAGCAAAATCCAAAATTTGGGTAATTTAAATTGTGTCGAATTGTTGTTTTTTTTTTCAATGGCTTTTTAGTCCGAATATTGTTAGAAAATGGAATAGAATTCCTCTGAGATCATTAAAAATGTGTGATTTTTTTTCAATAGGATTTTGAATTTTTATGTGGTAAAAATTTGAAGTCGAAAAGTTTTGGAATTCATTAAAAAGATTGAAATATTTGACACTGTTGCATTCGTTTAATATGTATTGAGGCTGAAATTCAAAAGAGAAGAAGAAAAACAAAAACAGAGTAATATTGAAAAAATTTTTGATTTTGACAATAAGTTCAACTTGAAAAGCCTTGTTACACACACATTTTTGTTAGATTGTCGCGATGCGGTTGATTTTTTTGAATTACACATAGAAAAATATTATGAAAAATTATTTGAATAGGTTGTTAATTGCAATTTTGAATTTTTCAAATTAATTGTAATAAATGAAAATTGTTACATTAAAAAAAAAAGGATAAGAGGTGACAAAACAGAGAAATTGGGGATTGATTTGTTATTTCAAAAGAGTTTGAAAAATGTTCAATTGAATTTGCTTTTTCATGATTGAGAATCGTGTAGTGTAAAAGGAAACCATGAATTTTTTTTTGTAACATAGCAATTTGCTTCTAAAATGGTGAAATAATATCCTACTAAAATCTCCAATATTTGATTAATGTAATCTCATTGAATTTTCCAATGTTTTAGGTAATGGAATTAAATTTTATAGCTCATTTTTAACGCAAATGAAATTGCATTTAAAGATTTTAAAACTGATTTTTTTTTCAAATTTCGGCATTTGTAGCATTTTATTTCTAATATTTTCTGAAAATTTTCGAATTTTAAGATTATGTTCCCTATTATTTTCTGAATTTAAATTTTTACAAAGTTTATTCAGCGTTCACTCAAAAGGAAAAATCGTGACTTATTTATCAATAATAGAAAAAACTTTGTAAAACTTTCGTCAACGAAATAAAAACGTGGTTTAATCTCGAGAACAAGTGGTAACCCTAATGTAACATGAAGAATATATAAAGCAAATAAATTTAAAAAAATTTAATTATAAAAAAATTACAGCCGCGTACTCTTTGGATTCCGTCTTTTCTAAAGACAAAAATTATCAAAAGAAAATCAATTTAATATCTAAAATATCAAGAGGTTCTTAACACAAACTATACACTTAACAGAAAATTCTCTTCCTTAATTTATTCTCAAATAACAAATTGAATGTCAAAAAAGATGAGAACCGAAAAAACTTTTAATTAAATTACTTTTATTTCAAAAACTAACAAATTATAATAATTTTTTTCTTCTTTTTTTAATTTCTTCAAAAATTCAGGTGAAATGATTGTCTCATCACCAAAATACCATGTTCAAGAGTCATCAAAATCAATGTATGAGACTAAAATGACTGTAATTGTTCGTAAATTTCAAAAGGAAGATGTTGGCTCATATCGTTGTATAGCTAAAAATTCACTTGGTGAAGTTGACAGTAGCATTCGAATTTATGGTAAGAAAAATAATTGCAAAAAGTTCACATTCTTGGAAAAATGGCGTTTATAAAATGTTCTTGCACACCACATTTATATTGTAACATTAAATAATTTGTGTCCTATTTTAATTTTACATTATTGAAATGAATATGCGAAATACAAAGTTAAAAACAAATATATTAATGTATGTATGTATAATAATCTGCACAGACACACATTATAATGCACCTTTACCTCATGTTCAAATAAAATTCATCAACATTAAAATTGTCCTGTGCTTCTTAAATTGAATGCAGAAAAGTAATAAAGAAAAGGATATGTAATAAAATTTTATTCTTATAAGGAGTAAAAGAATTAATTTTACTTCATCCTTTATCCAATATATATTTATGTATGCATACTTCATTTGACTTAAGTTCATTCAAAGACCTAAATTGGATTTAGATTTTATTTCCTTCTTATTTTTATATGGAAATTTTTTATCAATATTTTGATTTTTTTCTACATTGAAGCGAATATAAAATACAAGGTGCTTTTTGTATGCAATATTCATGATTCTGTTATGTTGATTCCATTATAATTCAAATCCGATATCATTTTATGGGATGAAGATGAGAAAGCGACTTAATGAAAAATGCCAGACGTGATTTGAGCCCAGACGGGATTTCTTAAAAGAATGATTATACCGTTAAAATAATGATGACGGACTTAATGTTACAGTTCGTCCCATAGCTTTTTCTAAGCTTATTTCGAAAATTTGTTTGAAATTTCTTAAAAATTGTTTTACAATTTTTCTATAGTACTCGTAACTCGTAACATAAACAACCCGGCAAGACACTCTGTGCTAGTAAATACTTTTTGAAAATTACAAACACAAATTTAACATCAAATATCAAAATTTTCGAATAAATGAGAATTCCGCCTATAAATTGTCTTGTATACAAAATTTTTATTTTTAAATCACCTTTAATTTTATATTCTTGTAATTTTTATTAACTTTATTTTATTTATTTTCTCTCCTTTATTTTCAATTTCAAACAAAAAAAAAAACAGAAATACCTGGACCTAGTCGTAAAGTTTTACCACCAAAATATGGTACAGAAACAAATGACATTTTAAAACAACAGAATAAACATCAAATTAAAGTAACATATCAGCCATCAGCAGATGATGAAGATCTTTATGGTTCATCGGCTGAGGAATTTGACGAGAATGATATGTCAAGTATATTATACCATCAGCAGAAATCAACAAATAAACCATCATCAACAATATTCGATATAATAAATTCAAATTCAAATACAAAACATAATCATAATCACAATCATCATCATCATCATAATAATAATGGAAATAATGGTGGTGTAAACGGTATATCTGGTACTAATAATGGTGGTGGTGGTGTTGGTGGTAATTCTGATTTAATAAATGTTTTAGTAACAAGAAAGCCACCATTTTATATTCCAGAGATCAGAGGTGATGTTAATAATGAACTTAGTCATTTGGGTTCAAATTCAATTTCAAATATTAAAAATACAACGATGTCAATAATAAAATCAATTTTAATAGTGATTGGAGTTGTTTCATCAATTAGTTCATGGCTATGCTCATAATAAATACACAATGTAAAGCTAAACCAAAGTAAAAAAAAAATCTTATAATAATAACAATGATAATAAAAATAAGAGATATTTATATTTACCCATACATACATAACATATGTATATGTATATAAAATATAAAATAAAAAAATAAAATAAAATTTGGGGGTTAAAATTTTAGAATACTGGGATTTTATTTTATAATGTTACATGTAATGTTTACAGTAAATGTCAAAATGTATGTTAAAAATAGGGTTAAAATTTTAATGCCAAATTTATTTTAAAAATATTTGTTATGTTTCTATTTCTTTTAATTTTGTTTTTTCATTATATTTAAATGGTTTGACTTTATGTCATATAATATGGTTAAAAAAAAGGGTTCAAATACAACGACGGTTTGTTGAAAATTATTATTAACAAATTTTTGTTTTGTTTTTGGAAAAAAATACAAAAAAATTAATGTTAACTATCTAAAAAATTATATGTACTTGTTTTTTAATATTTTTTTAAAATGTTTATACCTATTGTGAAAAATTTAATAACACATTGCCGTAATTACACGATATAAAATCAATTTATTGGAACTCATTTAATTTTGCCCATTAAATACCTAATGCAAAAAAAATTTAATTTTTTTTGATAAAACATCATTTTAAGTTCTGTGCGCAGTTTCACAGTTAAGTTGTTTTTTTTTTTTGAGAAACTGATTTAATTTTAGAAGTTAACATATTTAATTTGATCTAATCTAAAATGTTCATATAAATTATACACCACTTTGTTGAGTGATACTCTATCCCGTAATATGGAATTATATGGGAACAATATATTATAAGTTGGCGGGGATTGCCATCTTCAGATGAAATATTATAAATTTTTTATTGATATAGCTGATTCTTACTTTCAGTCTTAAAATATCGATTTTTTTAAGCTGATTTTAGAAATATTTTTAAAATTGCAGCAATTTTTGTAATATTTAAAGATTATTTTTGTTATACGTATTTCTTTTGTCATATATTCATTTTGTACTTCATTTTAGTAGTTATTTTTCAAATACAAAATATAATTGATTTTTTGCAGTATCTTCATATTTTAAATTTTAAGGCAGGTGTAATGTTAGATTTTATTAAAAACGTTTTACATTCATATAAAATTTTATAATATTTTTCATATAAAATCATTTTTACTAGTTAGAAATATTTATTTTTTCCATTGATTTTAAAATAAATTTAAAAAAAAAATGCTTTTTTAATGAATTTTAATATTATATTTTTTAATTATTAATAAATTGAAAATTTTTTTTACAAAAACTTGCAATGTTTGTTTCTGTTCAATTCCAATTAGATTGAAGAGAGCATTTTTTAAATCGCAAGAAATACGTTTTAAAAAAATTGGAAGAGTAATCAAAATATAATAATATTTCTAAAATGTCAAAAATTGAATACCAAATAACTTTAATTAATAAATTATAATGTGAATTAGAAAAATTTCTAATTCTTTCATTTCACTTTGGGCACGTTTCGTTTCTGCTATTATATAATCTTCTTTACTTGCTTGAAAGGCGGCTATTCCCAAATGCATCTAATATGAGGTTTAAAATAAATTTTTAAAATTGAATATTTTTTAATTACTCTCCGTTTCTCTTAAATAATTTAAATATTTTCCGACATCTTTTGAAGAAATTTTTGTCTTCATTTTTTTCTTAAAAATTTTTTAAAGTATAATTTCTAAAAACTCATTAAATACTAGAGCCACTTTGGAAAATTTAAATTATCAATGGTATGAACGGAATAATTTTACAGGTTTTTGTAAACAAAAATTACTAAAAATATATAAAAATAATAAAAATTAATATTATAAATGAAATATTTTACCTATATATAAATAGAAAATAATTCTTGTAAATAAGTTTTAGTAAAAAGAATGTATTTTGTTAGAAAAAAATTAAAAAAAAAACGTATTATATAAAAAAAATATTAAAAAATAAAAAAACGCCTAAATTTTTTTTACAAAATGGAAATACTTATAAATTTATAATACAATAAATAAATAATAAATACCTACTTAATTAAAAATTAATAAAATTAAAAAAAATGATGACGAAACAATAAAAAAAAAAAAAACAAAATTTAGTTAAAGCTTAGTATGAAAATAAAATATAAGAGTCTAAATACAAACTACATGTAGACTTATATAATAAATATATATAAATACAAAATAAATTGGTGCAGTTACAATTTGAAGTACAACATATATATACGTTTTTCGCCGAAGACGTTAAATTTTTTAGTAGTCGTACTGGAATACCAAATTTTTGTTCGAGCTTGAAATTGGCTTGAAGCTTTTCTGCTCCAAAAATAATCTTAAATAATAATGTGACATTTTTAAAGGAAAAACACAAATGAAAAAAAAAGTCTTATTTGTTCAATAAGAACTATAATCAAATTTGTGGTTTACTTATTTTTAAAAATTATTCAAAAAGTTTGGGAGCTGATTGAAAATTTCAAATAAATTTCAATTGTAACAAATGTAATTTTTATCAAGAAGAAACCACGAGAACTTTACTGATATTTATAAAAAAAAGGCCGGTTCTATTTATGGCTTTATTAGAAACATTAGCAGAAATGACCATATTATAATAGGGAAACATAAAATAATATAAATTTTCTTTTCAAAATTTTTTCGAGTAATAATATCACCAAATATTTCTAAACGATTTTCCAAACTGAAGTAATTGTTCTTATCAAATAAATTCCTTTTCTGTACTGCTGCGGTAGAAGCTAGACAATTTTTTATATAAATGTACTTTAATATTGTAAATCTGCGATACAAATTAAATAAATAAATAAAAAAAATGTAACATCTAAATATGCGTATAAATGCATAATTTGAACAGCTTTATACATAATCAATAAAAATGTAGTTAAGGGCCTTTATTTCAATAAAAAAACAACACATAGAAAATTAATATGTTGAAAAAACTAAAAAAGTTTTTCATTATAAAAAAAATTGTGAATTAAAAATTAATTTTATAATTTATAATTTAATTTAAAAATTATATATAAAAAGATTTATTATTAAATAAATATAATATTATTATACCTAAACATATAAATTTATATTTATAAAACAAAAAAAAAAGAAAATAATAGACAAAATTGAATAATTAATTATTTAACATGTACATATATATATATACATTACATTTATACATAATTAAATATATAATAATGCTTAAAATATGTTATTGTTAAAGTTATAGAATTAAAAGAAGACAAACAAAAATTAAAAATTAAAAATATAAAAAAGCAAATTTTTACAGTATTTGGTATATAACATGAAAATAAATTTAAAAAATAATTATAATTAACAATTTAAAAGTTATTATTTCTGAAAAGTTATTAATTACAATTGATATTTATACGACAGAATTGCATATTTACCGTAAATATTTATATAAATTTAACAAGCAGTTACCTGAAGTTCTGAAAATCTGTAGATCAAAGTGATATTAATAAATTAAACAAGTGAAAGTTAATAAAAATCAATAAACTATCAACTATGAAAAACACATCATTGTTATCAGATGTATGAATCAATAACGCATATGTTTCATATATGTAGTTCATTTGAATTCTTTTTTTTGTATAAAATATTAGCAAGCTGATTGTTAAAATCAAACCTTATAAAGCAATCTCTATTTTATTCATCTCATTCATCTAAGTCATAAATTATTACATAAACTTTAACTATTAGTGGTTACTGACGACATTGTATCGTTTGTTAGAATGATATTCTATTATTCTTAATTAGGATTTTTACCCAATTACTTTTCATTAAATTCAAACGAAGAAATGAACGAAGAACTTGTTCTTGCTTTGCGATCTCATTTATACATTATAATGTTTTATATTTTTATTCCGCTTTGTTCACGTTATTTTGTTTTACTAAATGATTATATAGTGATATTTAAATGTTTTCCAGCAAAATTATTGAGTTGGTGAGATGCATGTAAATTTTTATATTATTCATGTTTGGATTATTATATTAAATACGGTATTTATTTTAAATACCGTATTACTAAATCATGGAACTTAATTTTTTTATAAATTAAAATTGAAAGCTAAATTTTAATATCGAACCGACAAAAATTTACTAAGAACACACTACCCTGAAATGGTTATAAAATTCATTTTATAATATACATAAATAAAAAATATATACATATATTTACTAAAATGCTATATTGCACTATGAACTTTCAGAGTTATTGCGTTTATTATTTAAAAAACAAAATTTAAATAAATTTAAAAGACCAAATATGAATGACCTTATTAATAAAAATTCTAAATATTTGTAGAAAAAGTATATACCTTTTTTAGAATATTAAGTTGAATAATTTAAATCTTTATACCAAAAAAGTAGAAAATAAATACAAAATGCTTTTTATTCAATTAATTTAAATTTTTAAATTGCTTCAATTAAAATTTAAAAAATTTTATTATTTTTAATTTTTTTTCTTTTTTTTTACTAAAACTTTTACGAAATTGTTGTAACAATCCTAATTGAATTTTATACTTTTTTTGTATTATACTTTTATATACGTATGTAAAAAAAATGTATTTTCTTTAAAACTCAAAACATGTTCCTCCTTTTCAAACATGTCTTTACCCCTTCCATTCCTCACTCAACACTTTTATTCTAACGTTGTACTGTAAATATAAATTTTGTTTTTATATTTTTTCTTCTTAGTGTATTTAAAACAATTGAAATTATCAAATTTTACTCAAATTTTACTAAACGATTTCATATAATAATAATAATAAAAAAAAGGCAAACACAATATTCACAAATTCATTCTTCCTATTTCTCAATCCCTCTGAACACTTCCATCCCAAGCCTTTTACATGAACACACAACAATGCTCGTATTTGTACTGTATAATGTAACAGTAATAGATAAAATAGGATTGTTATATAAAAATATCCAAAAATTACTTTACATATTTAAAGTACAATATAGAACCGCAATATATTATAATTTGTAGTATGAATGTATACATATATATTTGTATGTTATACATATTATAATAAGTCGGTGTCATTTTTAAAATGATTTTATTACATACATTTACTTAAAACACTTACATAATATAATTTTATACATTTTACA